AACAAATAAACCATCTTTAAGATTGCTTTTCATCAATAAGGGAAAAAAGAATCAAAGTGAGGGGAGAAATCAATGCCTTTTATTGAGTTTTAGGCTTCAGGAGGCTGAAGTAAGATGTAGTGGTATAAACACTGTATTATTATTGTTGTTATTATTATTATTATGTTATGTTAATCACCATACAGCACATCATTAGTTTTTGACATAACATTCCATGATTCACTGTTTGCGTATAACACCCAATGCTCCATGTAATCCGTGCCCTCCTTAATACCCATCACTGGGCTCACCCATCCTCCCACTCCCTTCCCCTCTAAAACCCTCCCAGAGTCCATAGTCTCTCATGGTTCTTTTCCCCCTCCAATTCCCCCCACTTCATTTTTCCCTTCCTTCTCCTAATGTCCTCCATGCTATTCCTTACGTTCCATAAATAAGTGAAACCATATGATAATTGACTTTCTCTACTTGATTTATTTCACTTAGCATAGTCTCCTCCAGTCCTGTCCATGCGGATGCAAAAGTTGGGTATTCATCCTTTCTGACGGCTGAGTAATATTCCATTGTGTATATGGACCACATCTTTATCCATTCGTCTGTTGAAGGGCATCTCAGCTCTTTCCACAGTTTGGCTATCATGGACATTGTTGCTACGAACACTGGGATGCATGTGGCCCTTCTCACTACATCTGTATCTTTGGGGTAAATACTCAGTAGTGCAATTGCTGGGTCATAGGGTAGCTCTATTTTTAATTTTTTGAGGAAACTCCATAGTGTTCTCCAAAGTGGCTGCACCAATTTGCATCCCCACCAACAGTGTAAGAGGGTTCCCCCTTCTTTAGAACCTCTCCAACATTTGTTGTTTCTTACCTTGTCAATTTTTGCCATTCTCACTGGTATAAGGTGGTATCTCAATGTGGTTTTGATTTGAATTTCCCTGATGCCTAATGATGATAAACATTTTTTCATGTGTCTGTTAACCATTTGTGTGTCTTAAGACGTTGGAAAAGTATCTATACATGTCTTCTGCCCATTTTTTTATTTGATTATTTGTTTTTTTGGATGTTGAGTTTGAGAAGTTCTTTATAGATCTTGGATTCAGCCCTTTATCTGTAGTGTCATTTGCAAATATGTTTTCCCATTCCATGGGTTGCCTCTTTGTTTTGTTGACTATTTCCTTTGCTGGGCAGAAGCTTTTTATCTTGATGAAGTCCTAAAAGTCCATTTTTGCTTTTGTTTCCCTTGCCTTTGGAGATTTGTCTTGAAAGAAGTTGCTATGGTTGATGTTGAAGAGGTTACTGCCTATGTTCTCCTCTAGAATTTTGATGGATTCCTGCCTCACATTGAGGTCTTTAATCTATTTATAGTTTATCTGTGTGTGGTGTAAGAGAATGGTCAGGTTTCATTCTTCTGTATATAGCTGTCCAATTTCCCCAGCAACCATTTATTGAAGAGACTGTCTCTTTTCCACTGGCACAAAAACAGACACATAGATCAATGGAACAGACTAGAGAGCCCAGATATGGATCTTCAACTCTATGGTCAACTAACCTTTAACAAATCAAGAAGAAATATCCAATGGTACAAGCACTTTTGCATGTCCGAACTGGCTCCTGAGAGAGTGGGAAGTGACACAGGGGCCTGGGAAAACTGGCAAGGAAAGAAAAGCTTTTAAAATCTCGATTCTTTAAATTATTAGTAGTGTACAACCAAAGTCTTACCAGGTATCCACCTCTGGTGTAATGCGTGTTGGTGTGCTTCAGATTTAATGTTTGCCTGTTTGATTGATGGGTTTTTAACAGTTGAAAACAATGAACAGTGACTATCTCAGAGTTTCTGTGGCTTAGGAATCTGGGCACAACTTAGCTGTGTGCCTCTGGCTCAAGGTCTCTCATAGGATTGCAGTCAAGGTGGCCATCAGGGCTGCTCAAGCAAGAAATTTAATTTTAGAAGAGAAAGCTATACCCAACACTGGGTGTAGAGACTACTTGAAAAAAAAATTAAAAAAAGAAGAGAAAGCTATGACCAGGCAATTAATTATGTATATTTTTAAAAGCTAAAATGTAGAGAGAAAAAGTCAATGATATTTCTAAATGAGTAGTTTATCTCATTTATAAAAGTGAAAAGAGTATTCAGAATATTTTAAGCAGATTTTTGGTGGAAGGTTGATTCTGAATGAGTAACGCCCTTGGGACAGCCGAAGTATAGATTTTTTGAAATGTCTGGTCTTTAAAATCATTTCAACTTGGCTTTAGAATGCAGAGAAAGCCATGTGTCCATATGAACTTAATGCCTTATTCTCCTAAACCCACCACAGCCCCCTTCACTCATAGGATAAAGCCAAAGTACTTAGCTCATCCAAATAGGCCCTGCAGTGCTTGGCCTAACTCTGGCCATTCCCTTCTCTTAAGTTTTCTCCTACTCCCACTCTCCATCCCCATATATCTATGGCTCCATTCCCTGAGCCCCACAAACATCTGTCAAACCTCTTCCCACCTCTAACTTTTGCACAAACATCGGTTGATCCCTCTCTTGGCCATTCTCCCCGCCCCCACACTACCCATTTTATCTGTATGACTTACAGTCATCCCTCAGATCTTATCTCAAGCATCTCTTCCTCCAAGACTTGCTGATACTGGATCAGGTTTCCCACAGCCTCTCATACAATGCTCTTTTCCTTAAAGGTATAATGTAGTTGGTAATTACATATTTGTGTATACCACTTGATTGCTACCTGTCTCCTCAACTGGACCCAGCTTCCTAAGGGGAGGGTCTGGGCCTGAGCCATCAGTCTCCCACCTTTTCCTACAGCCTGGACATGAAACCTGATGAATGTTTTTTCACACTCCGGAATGGTTACCCAGTGCCACCCTGAACCCTATCTAGGTAATGAAGAGGAAGCAAATATGGGTAGCCATGAGTGAGATATTTAACAATTAAGGTTAGTTTGAAATATACAGTTGTCTAGTAGGACAGTCTAAAATCTCAAATAGTGATACCTCCTAATTTTCTCCATTTTGGTCTATCAGTAGAAAATGTTGGTTGCTTAGATAATACTGCTCACTGAAATGACCACTTCTGTCATTCATTCCCTCTGAGACCTAACTCTATTGGCCTTGCTCTTTCTCTGCAACCAGAGCTAGGACTTAAAAAGAATGTTGAAAGTGACTTCTTAATCAAGGTCCACCTACCAGGCATAAGGCATTTCAATCCAATTACGTAGTTCCCACTCTGGCTTCTACGACAGTTGGGAGGCTGACTTTTCTTTTCATAAGAAAGTACAACGACTTCAGTTTGTATTGTCTACTTATTTGGATTATCCTGGCCATTATTATAGATAATCATAACCTGGTAACACAAAGACTTTCCATTTTAAGTTTTTGTGGAAATTACCCTTATCAGAAAGAGTTACTTATCAAAGCCAAGCTGTCGAAAGTCAACAACAGCTAACCATATCCTACTTAGGTTGGAACTGTCAGTGAGCTATAATTTTTTTTTAAGTTGGTTACTCATCATTCATTTACTCATTCATTCAGTACATATTTACTTATGACCATCTTTGTGGCCAGGGTTTAGGATGATGAAAGTTTTCCCCATATCCTGAGGAGTACATAGTCTAATGGAGCAAAACATCTTATCTTTACTCAAAGAGAATCAAAGAAAAGAAAGATATTTTTAGGTCAGAAGATAGAAATGATCTTCAAAAACTTTAACTGTGATTTGAATAGTAAACATAGTCAAAGTGGACTTAGATGATGTGGCACCATGACATTCTTAGGAGTAGGTAGAAGGGGCACAAAGGTCAGCTTATATTCCCATAGTGTCTGTGAAAGTTTATGGAATCTTCCCAAGAATCTTTTTAAGAAATAATAGATGCCCTTCTTTCTAGGAAGTTTTATATGCATGTGATTGTAAGTGTAATTCTATCTGGGGACCAACAAACATTTTTATAAGGTTTTCATAAATTCTCTACCCAAAACCCAAATGATCACCCAACTTTGGGCTTCCCATTTGTTTCAGAGGTCCCCAAGACTTCCCACATACTCAGTGACTCACTAGAAAGACTCACAGGGCTGAATATATATTTACACTTACAGCAGACTAATAAGGACTGTTCCAGTGAAAGGTTGTACTACAGGATCAGCAAAGAAGAAAGATACAGATAGAATTGGAAAAAATCCATTTACAGGCTTCCGATGCTCTCTGCCTCCCATGAGTGGATAGACTAAGTGTGCTGCTTTCTCCACTAGCAAAAAGTACAGTGATACATACGCAATATTTATGCCCAGAGAAGCTCATTAGAGACTCAGTCTCGAGATTCTTACTCAGGCTGGTTCTGTGGATACCCTCTGCCTAACGATCACCAAAATTTCAGACTTCCAAAATAAATCATGTATTCCCAAAAACTATGGTGTTTGCACAGTTTAGGCATAGTGAATCATCCTTATCCATTAGGGAGTAGAGAGAACATTCCAAAAGCCAAGTTCCCGGATGCCAGCTGAGGGCCAAAAACTTGTAAGCAGACCCTTATAAAGATAGCATCCTCAGGCTTGCTGTATTAACTCTTTTCTGCACACCATTCTTTAAATCTTCTTCCAGAATACATGTTGTAGGAAACAGAATATTCACACTTCTCACTCTTTACATACATAGCTAAAGAAAATGTGGTTAGCCTTGATTTTTACGTATTTTCACTAGACTATCCACGGCAATTATCATTTTTAGATAAATATTACTATTATTAATAATATTGCTCCCATTAATTCTAGTAGTAATTATTCTTGATAGTGGCAAAATTATGAGTTCCTATGATTAATATACTGTGAATTATTTCTATATAATATTCATATAGACAATCCATCCAGTGATCATTGACGTTCTTTCAAAGGTTTTAACATGCTGAGATCATGAAACTCTAAGGAGAGTCTGTGTTTGGTTCCTCATTTTATTTTTCTTCGGATCTGTTAACAGGACAGACTTTCCGCAGCTTGAAGGAGCCAACCATGGATTTCAAGCGTGTGAAGGACTACTTCTCCTGGCTCTACTATCAATACCAAATCATTAGCTGCTGTGCTGTCCTGGAGCCCTGGGAGCAATCCATGTTCAATACCATCTTACTAACCATTGTTGCTATGGTGGTGTACACCGCCTATGTTTTCATCCCAATCCACATTCGTCTGGCTTGGGAATTTTTCTCCAAAATGTGTGGCTATCACAGTACAATTTCGAATTGATCTTGTTTGCATTCTGTGACTTGGCATTGCCTATGTATATGTTGCTTACAACTTACCGATTTATGTGAATACTATGTCTTCTTTCACTGTCTGCTCTGAAAAGCTCTCTTCTCTATGCACTCTTATATCTTGCCTGAAATGTGGGATAGATGCCTTTTAGGTTCTTTCATATACTCTACATTGTGCATCAACCATATAACACAAACATCTTACCTCACATGCCAACCATGTTCTCTCAACTGAAACCTACAACTTTAGATTTTTTTTTAATCAGGAAATTTCATAGAAAATTCTTCTGAAAAGTCGGCTCATAAGAAACCTACCAGAATCATTTAAAATGCTCCCTTGATACTTATTCTGTACTAAAGGGTATATTTTTAAAAAAAAAAATTTGTTCATAAGCTCCTGTCAAAAGTATCCTATCCTTGTTTACAACATATAAAAAGACATGAATAAATTATATGGGCCTCCTAAAGTCTTATTTTCTAATAAATTGCTGATACCTAAAATTCTTTTACTTCAAGTGCAAAAGAATAGGCTGGAGGCAATTATCTCTTTTCAGACATGGTTCATGAATTATTTCAAATGCCTCTAAAAGTCTGGCTTTATAAGAGTTTAAAATCAACAATGTTATAAGAGTTTAAAATCAACAATGTTGATTTTAGATAACCCAGTAAGTATTATAATACAAAAAATATTAAGTGTAAGGAACAAAATATAATCAAAGTAAATTCAGATATTGTGACTTGTGGGGCTGAACCTTGCCTTGCATGATGCTGGGGAGAGAGGGGGGAAGAGAAAAGAAACTGCTTTCTTTCTGTGATTTCACTCAGTGGAGGTGGTGGGGGGAGTACGTACTGGGCTACAGGAAGAAAAGCTAATAAATAGGCTGGAAGTAATATTCTACCAGCAGGAACTCGACAGCTCCAGTTAAATGCTTTGATATAGTGGCTCCTCTGCACAGCGAAAACAAGATTTATTAAATTTCCTTCAAAGTGTTTATCTTAAAAACAAATACAAGTTTTTAATTGTACTGCTGAATCAAATGTGAATGCCAAAGACCAGACATTACAGTTTGTCTTTCCTTTCAATAAATATTAAAGTTCATAATTCTGAGGGTAAAAATGTAAATAGTTTTTGGACAATATTTGCACCCATGTTTGTGTTATGGAAAAAACATTTCCAAGGAAGGCTAGAGAGAAAGATTTTTGGCATGCCTGATTAACGTGCATGTTTGTTAAAAACAAAATGAAGCAAAACCAAAAACACATGTTTTAAAGATAAACCAGATCTGAACCTGGACTTGTTGATTTTTGAAAAATAAAATTAGGTTTAATTTTGTAAATAAAATACTCACCTCCAGATTTGCTTTTTCCTCATATTGCACTATCTAGGTGCTTTCATCCACATTTGTCCCCAAATTTATCTTTTCTTACTAATCCATTGGGACAACTAATCTTAAAACAGCAGGATAAAACAAACATTTATCAAGGGTCTTCTCCATAGTGAACCCATTTTCCATGTTGAAGTAGATATTAATGTCTCCCAGTTAACAGGTATGTGGAACTTAGAAAGAGGCATTTCTTGTTCAAGGTCTTTTAGCTCCTAGAGGCAAAGCAAGGAAGCAAATCCAGGGCGGGGCCACTTGGGTCCCAGAAGTATGTGCCACATGCAAGCTCATGGGAGGACAACGTGAGCAAATCAAAGATGATGGGATGGGGTCACTGCCAGTTAGAAAGCAGAACCACATCGATTAAAAGAGGCAAGGGCTCGAGGAGACAGCTGAGGTCAGAGGAACAGAAGCCCAGGTCCCAGTTTCCACATTTGCTGCTTATCCAGGTACTGTGTTCACCCATTTCTATGCTGTCCAGGCCTATATGCCTATTTTGAAAGATTGCTTTCACTTTCAAATATTTAACAGAGGATTCGCAGTTAAGCATGAACTTGGACACATTCCCAGTTCACAATGATTCAACACCCTTATATACATGGACCCCTGCTAAGTACTCTTGGAATCCAATTACAAAGATACTGCCTTGACCGTCTTAAAATCCTCCTTCTAAAAATAAGAGTTAAAATAAATGTGAAGAGACACAGTAAACCTTCATAAAGGATATTGCACAGCACTGTCCTAGGATGTCACTGTGAAGGTAAGCATTTTCTCTGAGGGTTCAACAAAGGTAATCAAACATAGTATGGGGGGAAAAAACCTATTTGCACGCAGAAGGGAAGAAAAGCCCACCTGTTGTGCCTGCTCTGTCAACTTGCTATTAGGCAGAGATGCTCTTTATGGTGACATCGTTAGCCTAGATAACAAACACTTTTTATATGCTTTTTCTTTTCTTCTGTCATTTGTATGTTTCAATAGTGATCATGGAACTTTAAAAAAAAAAAGATAGTCAAAAGTTTCATGGTTAAAATGGGCTTGCAGGGCACCTGGGTGGCTCAGTCAGTTAAGCGTCTGCCTTCCACTCAGGTCATGATCCCAGGGTCCTGGGATCCAGTCCCACATCAGGCTCCCTGCTCAGCTAGAAGCCTGCTTCTCCCTCTCCCTTTGCCCACTTTGCAAGTGCTCACTCTCTCTCTCTCTCTCCATCAAATAAATAAAATCTTTAATAAAATAAAATGGACTTGCCTTTGTCACTCACTAAATTTGGAATCATAAAATATTCCTGCCCCGATATTGGTCAAGTCAACAACTGCTTTTACCTATTTGTGCAACAAAAGAATACAAAATACTGAGAAATCAGGCAGTTATAACACCAAGATAACACTGGTCAGTCTTTGTTAATAAGTTGCGTGTACAAAAAAGAAAAAAAAGAAATCACTAGTTTTCATCTTCTACTTCTTTCCTCTTCCGTTATTACCATATTTAGATTCTCTCTCCAGCAGAGCATGTGCCCCTGGAAGTCAGGAAATTTGTTCTTATTTCTCAGTCCCCAGTATCTAGCCCAGTGCATAATCCAGAGCTTAGCAGGTACACATTCTAGAGCACATCACATAGTTGCCCATACCCTGTATCCACACAGAAATAAGGAAGCTCAGTATTTGTATTGGGCCAATCTCAGAATGAACAGCTTCCATCTACCAACCAAAAGAGTAGCATTCATTCATTCATTCATTCAGCAAATATATTAAAAGCCAACCATGTACTGATAAAGGAATGGAGAGATGGATAGATATCTGATGAAGAAAGCCTAGTAGAAACTACGTGGCAGGTATTCACATGTCTGTTGTAAAATTCTCTTAACTTCACTGCATGTTTGAAAGTTGTTTTGTTTTGTTTTTTTAAGATTTTTGTTTATTTAAAATAGAGAGAGAGGGAGCCAGAGAGAGAGAGAGAGAGAGCATGAGCATGGGAGAGCAACAGAGGGAAAAGGAGAAGCAGGCTCTCCACTGAGCAGGGAGTCCAATGCAGGACTCGATCCCAGGAACCTGAGATCACAACCTGAGCTGAAGGCAAATGCTTAACCAACTGAGTCACCCAGCACCCCTGTTTGAAAATGTTTATTTAAAAAAAAAAAATGCTGGAGGAAAAGTCTACTATGTTCTAGTCATTGAGCTTGCCACTGGGAAACAAAGATAAATGAGACAGAAACAAGAACATTCCCAAATTCATGAGTCATACAATCTGGTATACAAGATGAGACAAGAAAAAAAATAAGCAAACAAAATATTTATGAGTTGTGGTAAGGTCTTATGAAAGGAACAGCAGCGTGCTGGAGAGGAAGCAACAGAAAATCAGGGAAGGTAGCACACTTTGGGGACCCAGTGAGACGTAAATCCAAACTTCTCTCATTGTAGGATGGCAGGCAGGGAGATGAGGTGGGAAGGAGGTTATCTCACCCAATAAGAGAGGGACACTGGCTGTTGTATGAGGGTGGGAGGGAGAGGCAGGGGTCAGAGCGGGGAGACCCCATGCAGGAGAGGGCTGAACTAAGGGGGCAGCAAGAGAAGCAGAGACACAGATGGCCTGATTTGATATATATTGTGGATCTAGAAAGTCAGCACATCTTACTTCTAGATCAGAGCAAAGGAGTAATTCCATTAAATACCCAAAACCTTTTTCTTTAAACTCCAAAAGAAACTTCTCATTTTGGTAAAGTTATTTCCGGAGCTGATTAACTATCCTAGGAGAGGCTGAAGGAAGCCAGCTTCATATATTTTTTCTATTTTTCCCACTGTATCTCATCAAGAGTCCTTATACTTCTGACTGGAAAAAAGGACTCCAATTTTCCACCATGGAACAGAATGTTATTCTCTAGGTACTTTGCATCATCAAAACAGACTAACCAAATATCAGTAGCATGGTTGTTCCTAGGGATTAAATTATCCCAAGACCAATTCTAGAGCTTGAAAACACTCTGAAAGCAAACTTCAGGGCTCGAGTTCTCTTTGATTCATTCCTGAATTATTCTGCTGACAACAGTGAAAGTAATAGTACTGAGAAGATTTAATAGTAGTGTTATCAGAGCACGGCTGACCAATTTTTAATTTCAGTTATTTGGCTAGAAATTATGAGGAAATAGGAGGCAGAAGGAGTTCCAAAATAAAATTACAGTTGCCTTTACTATAATGGCAAAGCCTATTTCTGTAGCTTTTTTGTGAACAATGATGACGTATTCCATTAACAAAATTCACACTTCTAATCATTTCCAGATGGAATTCAAAACTCAAATTGCTGCTTTTTATTATTGTATTTTTTGTTCCTAACAGAGGCAGCACTTAACCCAGATGTCTGATTGTGGGGGAGGGGAGACTACAAAATGGAGGAAAGAGTGCCCCAGGTCCCAGCCTCCCAGCCTCTGCCTGGCACAGACACACACACACACACACACACACACACACGGTAGTGCGTAAATTCCCTGGATGGCATGCAGCAATAAAGGAGAGCCCCATGTCACCCAGCTTGGATTCCCACTCAGCAATGAGACTGGAGAAAGGGACAAGGAGGAAGAAGAGTCAGAGATTGGAGGAGGGGAGGGAAGAAGGAAAATGGAAGGAGGCTTATCCCTTGTTTTCTGAGTTCACAGTGGGAAAGTCACACCTCCAAGTAAAGTGTAATGCCTCTCTTCCACCTTCATCCCTCAAAGAATTTCCCTAATCTCATATATTTTTTCCTAACATGAGCCATATCCAAACATTTTACATCTTGTTCATATTAATATTTCAGTTTCTCTTGTTAAAATAGTTCACCTTTGCCCATAGTTTAAAAAAAAAAAAAATCTTATGAATAATCAGGCAAC